ATTAGTTGTTCTTGTCTCTGACTGTGAATTAATTATGTGCTGCAAGATGCATTTTTCCTGCTATCTGTTGGTGTTTTTCTTCCTGTTCTTTTTCATTATGTGCATTTACTGGCACCACAGCAAAAGTCATCTTCTGTGAAGGACAAGACCTCATGCCTAAAGCTCTGGTATTAGTCACCTGAACCCCACAGGCTGCCCTGATCTGCAGCAGCAATCTGTGCATCCCTGCGGAACTTGCAGCAGCAGGAACTGCCAAAGGCTCTTGGGCTTAGAAGGCGTTACTCTCAAACCCCTTTAGGGTGGGCAAAAGGATCCCTGTTTCCCATTCCCTTCTGTTCCCTCTCGATTTAAAATACCAGTACACGTTGTTGCCGCTGGAGGGCAGCGCACGAAGCCCTTTCACAAGGCTGCACCAGCGGCTATCGGGCAGGGTAACACACTGTCCAAACGGTTACCATAATACTCCAGCACGTCCAGAGTCCCTCCTCACCCAGTCCTGGAGCTGGCAGCAAAGGCATCCACAGGCCTGTGAGCAAAAAAGCAAAAACACACAGGTGAGACAATGTCAAAAGCACAAACACAACAACAGGCAACACAACAGATTTTGACTCAGACCAAACACACCCACCATTTTCTACAGAGACATCTGACTTTTAACTTGCTCCCTCTAACTGCCATTAAAACCTTGTAGGTAGATGAAGTAGGTCCTGACTTTATCTCACAGGCAGGCCTTGTTCTTCCACCATTTAATTTAGGAGGATAGTATCAGTGGAGTCAATATAAGAGCAAAAACACACTGGTGAGACAATGTCAAAAGCACAAACACAACAACAGGCAACACAACAGATTTTGACTCAGACCAAACACACCCACCATTTTCTACAGAGACATCTGACTTTTAACTTGCTCCCTCTAACTGCCATTAAAACCTTGTAGGTAGATGAAGTAGGTCCTGACTTTATCTCACAGGCAGGCCTTGTTCTTCCACCATTTAATTTAGGAGGATAGTATCAGTGGAGTCAATATAATATCACTGGCTCCACTTTCTTAGTCCTCCAGATGAATCTCTGTTAGAAACTCCTGGGAACTGACTGTGCCCTCCTAAAGGAGCCTGCAGAGCCTAACCACCCAGCCTGCTTCCCGGCCTGGCAGGCACTTCCACAGCTATTCCTGCCCTCAAACTCAGCCGTATCTCTGTAACCGCCTGCTGTTTTCCAGCAGTACCGGTGTGACTCCTTAGCAATGGCCCAGCAAAGCAGCCAGGGACCACGCAAAGGTGAGGCTCTGCTTCCCGTTCAGCTCAGCACCGGGACTCCGCTGACACACTGCACAGCCCTGGGACAGCCCAGGGCAC